AACGAGAGTAGGTACCGTGTAGGTATCGCTATTCACATTTCACATACATATATACATGCGCCTCGAGGTTCGATTTTTTTCGCAAATCTCGCGTTTTGAACGTCCGAAGGCGGCGGACACGGTCCTCCGCTCAAACGCCCTTTGACGGACGCGCAACCCGCGTTCGCCATTCGCGGGGACGGCGACGCGGCTTAAGAGTCATAGATTTGACTCGGATTTTCATCTCAGTAGGTGGTTAGATAGGGTAGGCGTTAGGACAGGTGACTCGGGTGTCGTGGGTTCAATCCCGGCCGCCGGGAATATCGATAATTTGCGACGGCCGTGGTAAATTGATTTTTTTTCGCGTTTTTTTTCGTCGTTTCGCTATCACTTCCGTCTTATCATTTTTTTGTTCCGATTTTTTTCAAAAATTCGAGTTTTAGCTCCTTTTGGTCTTATTACCCTCCCCGTTTGAATCTTATTCGCGTTCCCCGCTAAATTTATAGCCGGTGCGCGGCCCTACTTTTTCACAGACGAGTCCCGGGAAAGAGCGGCGTCGCGGAAAAGGGAGTAGGTATTGTGTAAGTATCGCTAAATACAGCAATAAATACATGCATCGCGTCGTTTTTTGCGACAAAAAGTTCGATTTTTTCATACACACTTACACATAATACCTAAGTCATAACACAGTGATGCACCATTATAATTATGCATTTATAATTACTAAATAATTTAAATCATCATAAATATCATATGACATTAAATAAATTGGTAGGTAGGTACATAATATATTATATACAGTCGTACAATATAACAGCAAAATATTATGATAGTAGGTACTTACGAAGATAAGTGCCAAACAATTGTATAGTGTATTCATTTATACATACCTACATTTAATAGGATAGTATTACATTTCAATAAAATTTGTTATTCACCAATATAATTATCTATTTGTTAATTTGATTTAATTCGCATTTACATGTATATATATATATATATATATAATAAAGGTAGTGTGTTGCACAATTATATGCGGATACCCTGTTATACATGTGCACTCGTATTATTATTTGTTAACAGTAATGTGATAAGTGATATCAGTTTAGGGAAGAACTGCTCGCGGTAATGTACAAGCACAGAACAAACAGAAGGGAATCTTAAGGCTCATCGAAAAACCGTCCGACATTTCTAGATTTTAAACGTGCTGCCACGTACCGAGAAATTCCCTTTTTTAAAAGTTTGCTGTGGTTTGTGGCTACACTGTTAATCTGCAATTTCCACATATTTTATTATTAATTTCCATAAAATATACATAGTTTTTGTTTTTCTTAGATTCTGTACTTAGATAAATGGTAAAAATGCAATTTCTTAAAAAAAATCGGTTTGATTGTTTGAATATAATAATATATTAGAAATTTGAACGAATAAACAGTGCTGCACAATATAAAGAAAAAAGAGAAATTCCCGGTACGTGGCAGCACGTTTAAATTTTAGAAATGTCGGACGTGGTTTTATCATCTCCCATAAGAGCCTATGTTAAATGAAATAAGATTCCCTTCTGTTTGTTCTGTGGTACAAGTGTTAACGGTAATATGATAACGCATAGTAGCGCACGTACGCGATCGTTCTGTTGACGGTGGTGGTTGTTGGTTGTGGTGATGAAGTAGGGGGGAGGCGGTGTCGGTAGCGGGCTATCTATGGCTGGGTGGTGAAGTGGAGAAGTGGCGGTGGCGGTGGCGGTGGCGGTGAAGTGGAGAGGTGGCGGGCTATCTATGGCTGGGCGGGGAGTAGGGGGTTGGCGGTGGCGGTGGCGGTCCTAGGATTGACAAATTTATACTACTATAATTACTAAATAATTTAAAACATCATAAATATCATATGACATTAAATAAATCGGAGCCGTCGCTGCGTTATCACTCCTCTTATCACTTTTTCGCAAAATCGACGTCCGAGGGATCAGATCGCCAGCTACGACGCACGAAGCGGACGTCGAAATCGCGTTCGGAATTCACCGGGACGCTGAAACGGTTTAAGATTCATAGATTTGACTCCGGTTCTCAACTCAGTAGATAGGTAGGTTAAGGCGCAAGTGTGGATGACCCGTGGTCGTACGTTCGAACCCGACGGCTTTACCGCCTTTAATAAGTCTGATTATATGTTTGCCGTTATTCCCGTTACCCGGGACCGATTGACGTCGCGGAGAGCACCTACATTATATTAGGCTTGAATATAATATGCTCAATGTTTACGTCATATTTATAATATACATATATATCATTATGATGTATGATATAGGTACATATACAATTATTGAATTATCCCACATGTGTACCTGTTGAAAGACACCAATATACTAAAAATGTAACTTTATAAATATAACGGTCACCATGCTTGCGTTAGGTGGGTACCGGATACCTTGACACATAATGACGTGTACACTTATTTACGTTTAAATACGTACGTAAGTATAAAAACGTAAACACGTAGGTAAATATGGGTACGGTAGGTCAGGCGGTCGTTTTTTCTTATTATTGTTGTGGGCGAATAATATTATTACGATTTAGGAGCGACACTGTGGTCTGCGATACTACAGTGCGACCGTTCTTATACGCGACATTATACGGGTGGAGTTTGATGGAGTGGAGCAGCGGGGGAACAACTTTGGCGACGCGACACGCGCCCGTTTCGACCTGCCTGATCACGAAGTGATCAGCCTTCTTGCAACGCACATCGACTGTCACGGAAAAGCCTAAAGGAGGCTTTCCACTACATACGTTCGCGTGTACGTGCATTTATTGGCGAGGCCCGTTTGCTATGAACGGTCTCCCAAACGTTTCCCATCGGTTTACATTGGTAACATATTGGTTTGGTAACATAATATTTGCTTTGATAATAGATATCATTGTTTTTTCCTTTATTGATAGTCTTGATAGCTGATAATGGGAAATCCGAAATAGGGAAACTAAATAATTTTTTTTTTAGTAGAAGTTTTTTACAAGAACTTAAGAAATGGTAGGATATAATTATTATAATTATAATACAGAAGTACACAGGAGAAAAGTCTTACTTGTATATTTGTATATGTTACATAAAAAAAAAAGAAAACAAAGGTAAATAAATTTGTTTTGTAAATTTCCATCTTAGGCTTGTAAATAGGTACACAATTTACTAACAAATTGTACTAAATTGTACTTTATACAGCCTATGACATTCCATGTGTAATAAAGAATCTTCATTTAAAATTCAGGTTTATTCTAGTTAAAACTTTGATTAGCTATAACTTCAAAACTAACTTCGTGCGCCAAATTCTGATTCCACCAATATTTTTTTTACCCAAAAAATGACCACCAAAAAAAAAAGATGTCCCGTAAAGTAGAAAAGTTCCAAAAAAAGTAAGAAACATATATAGAAAGAATTGGGTTGTTTTTATTTAGATTCTGAGTGGAACGATGAATGTATTCATTTTTCAATGTTGTGTGTTTTTTTTTTAAATTTTAATTAATTAATTCTTTTTTTGTGAATATTATATCACCGAATTCAAATTTAACATCATCCATTACAGTGACCCACTTGTAACCTACTGTACAGCAGAGGGACACCCACTGGCCCAGCTTTTTTAAAATTTTTTTATTAATATTATATTTCTATATAAAAAAAAAAAAAAAAATGTTTTTTATCAGATCGAAACCCAGATGGTATATTAAACCCTTTTTGAAAGAGAGGCGAGTACATGGCCATTGTCATTGTTTGACAAATGAACAGCAATTGTCAAATTCTGCACTCTATCAGAATTTTATGAGAATGTCTTCAACTACATTTGAAGAACTAACATGCATAATAGGTATAAAAATTAAACGTATTCCTAGTCGACCAGATGTATTGTCAGTTGGAGAAATCTTAAGTGCAACTTTAAGGTAGTCACACAATTATAATAGTTTATTATATCTAATGTCTTATGTTAAGCCTATTCACTGTTAGATAGTTGCCTGAATGAGAATAGGTTAGTATCTAGTATAATTTGTATATCACTTTAATTTTCACATTATATATAATAATATGAATGAGCATATAAACCTAACTTGTTTATAATTTATATTACTAGATATCTTGCATCCGGGGAATCAATGACATCTATAATGTTTTCTTTCCGTATAGGACAATCAACTGTTAGTAATTTAATACTACAATGTTGTACTGTTCTGTGGGATACTTTAAGCCCGAAAGTATATATTTTCATCCATGGTATAAGGTTTAGTCCTTTATATAATGAATCATAACTTTAAATTTCAGGTATTACTTATGCCAGACACTAATAAATGGGCACAATTAGCAAAAGAATTCGAAAACAAATGGCAAATGCCTAACTGTTTAGGCAGTATTGATGGCAAACATATTGTTCATCAGGTATGATTTATGTTTTTAATATTATTCATGAATCATGATATATGTTTATTTTAAAGGCATTCGCAAACACTGGTTCTACGAACTTTAACTATAAGGGATCGCATAGTATCATACTTTTGGCAATGTGTGATGCTAGTTACAATTTCACTGTGGTAGATATTGGTGCACCAGGAAGATGCAGTGATGGTGGTGTTTTTTCAAGTTCAGAAATGGGAAAAGGTTTTCTGAATAAAACTTTAAGTTTCCCTATTGAAAAAGAAATAGATAATAAAAGTGGACCAATCCCATATTATGCAGTAGGTGATGAAGCTTTTCCACTTTTAGAAAACCTTATGCGGCCATACCCAGGAAGAGGTAAAAAACGATTACCATTAAATGAATCTATTTTCAATTACAGGTAATTTTCACAAATTAAATAAAATTGAATATTATTTTATTCTGATAAAACTAAAATATTTTCCTTTTCAGGCTTTCTAGAAGCAGACGCACTATTGAAAATACTTTTGGTATTATGTCTTCTAAGTGGCGTGTTTTTAGAAAACCCATAATTGCTGGAGAAAAAAACAGTTATTGCAATTACAAAAGCCGCGGTTGTACTGCATAATTTTATAAAAATGTCGGAACAAAATGCAGGTAATTATTTCTTAAGTATTATAATATTTTTATTTATTAATTTTTATCATTATATAATATAATATATTGTAGGTGTTCGCTATTATACAGAAATATCTAATAGCGATATGAATAATCAGGAAATGGGTGCTTTGGCTTCTGTCAATCAACTGGGTACTAATACTTATTCAGCTAATGCCAAGATAATAAGAAACAAACTAAAAGATTATTTTTCAAGTGATGGTGCTGTTGAATTCCAATATGATAAATTGTTTTAATTAAAAATAACTGTGTCATTAGGTGTTTGTTAATGTAATAAAACTGTATTTAAAAAAAAATTACAACTTCTCAAAATAAAATATTATTATATCAAAATAATTAAATACTTATTTAAGTAGTAGTAATTTGGGGCTTCTGAGTCACTTTTTACAGGGAAAAAAAAAAGTTCAAGGGGGAAAGTCCCCCTTGCAGCACATTCGATCACCGTATAGGTAAAAATTCTAAAAAGGTGGGTTGGGGCTTCTGAGTCACTTTTTACAGGGAGATGAAAAAAGTTCAAGGAGGAAAGTTCCCCTTGCAGCACATTCGATCACCGTATAGGTAAAAATTCTAAAAAGGTGGGTTGGGGCTTCTGAGTCACTTTTTACAGAGAAAAAAAAAAAGTTCAAGGGGGAAAGTCCTCCTTGCAGCACATTTGATCACCGTATAGGTAAAAATTCTAAAAAGTATGGTTGGGGCTTCTGTGTTAATTTTCACGGGGAATTTTTTCAGTGCATTATCTTCTTGAATCGTTTTTTTTTTCAACCAATTATTTCAAGTTTTATTAAAAACCATGAATTTACAGAAGTTTTCTAACGATTTTCCTTCATTGGCTTATTTAGTAAGAAATAATTCGTATCCAGTGCATACAGATTTTACTACATTTTTATCGAGATTAAAATCATATAATTTGTTTCCACCTAATTTATGTCAAAATAAATATTCGTTATCTGAGGCTGGATTTAAGTATTCAGGAACTGCTGAAAAATAAAACATCGAAAGAATGTACAAAAGGTATGTTTATTATATCGAAAAAAAGCAAACCCATAATTTTTACAGACAGATAATGGTGCGGAATTTTACAATGCTCAATTTCAAAATTTAATAAAAAAATACGGTGTTATTAAATGTTCAATCGCGGAACACATGGTCTAAACTCTTGAAAATAATGTATATATATATATATATACATACATTTTACTGCTACTGGTACATGGAATTGGTACAATACAATATCAAAAATTATACATAACTATAATAATACAAAACATAGAACAATCAAATGTACACCTAGTGAAGCTCGAATGGATACAAACAATATTAAATTTAACACATATATAAATTCTGAAACATTGTACAAACCAAAATTTAAGGTTAACGACAAAGTAAGAATATCTAAGTATAAACATATATTTAGTAAAGGATATACACCAAATTAGACAACGGAAATATTTACAGTTTCAAAAGTTTTTCAGACAAATCCAGTAACTTATCAACTAAAGGATGAATCAGACAATATAATCTTAGGTGGTTTTTATGAACAGGAAATTAAATTAACTGATTTTCCAAAAACCTTTCTCATTGAACGTATTGTAAAAAAAGTTGGGAATAAAATGCTTGTTAAATGGTTAGGTTTTGATTCAAGTCAAAATTCATGGATAACATCATCAGATATTTTAAAATAAAGATTTTTTATGTATAATATGTAATGCTTTTATAATAAAATATTTTTTCATTGAAGTCAAAATTAATTATTACACAATGTTATATTGTTATGATCTCCTAATCCTCAATAGCCTGTTTCAAAAAAAAACATGATGACGTATCCACAATCGATATAAAAAGCATCATCTAGCGGAAAAATTAATCAATGAAAATAAATAATACTTCTGTATTTTTATCTTATAATTTTACTATAGTATTTATTTTATCTTTAACAATTATTTAATAAAAAAGTTTATATTCAACTTGTATAGTATGGAATCTATATTCTTAATCAAAAATGTTTTAGAGCATTTTTTTAAATCTTTCAATTTCAATTAATTCTATTGATTCTTATGGTTGACGGTTTGAAATAATTTTCCTCATTCTTTCCGTAATACAACTGTAAAACATAAAATATATAAGCGGTAATGTTATAAATTATTATAATATCATATCGAACAACTCTATTTCAATTAATATGTAGTTTTTTTTCTTATTTAATAATATTCTTCTTTAATATTATAATATGTGGTAATAATATTATGTTTAGTATTAATTACTATTTTTTTTTTTATTTTTTATTAAGGGGTCTCTATAGACAACTTCTTATACACCCGTTAGTATAATATTTATTCTGTTTTTAGCTAAATGTAATCTTTATACGTTTTTATTATTATTATTATTTTGTATAGTTTTGCTAACCAGTCATAAAATATGTTATTAACATAATATTTAATTAAAGTTTCTTAAGTTTTAAAACTTAAAATACTGATAAATGATAATAATAATCAGTCAAAGAGACTATGTTCTTTTAGAATGTTTTCATTTTCTTTTTCATTTTTAACTTTATGATATAGTTACTGTTTTTTTTTATATTTTCAAAAATAAATAAAACTGAGATAATATCAGTGATTGATTTTTGAATACACTGTATAATATAATTCACTTTTTATTCAATTAACTTTTTTTTATTGCTGACTAAAATGGTTATATTATTTTATAAATTGTAAATATCAAGTTAATTTTTAAAAAATATATATTATTTATACTATAATTATTATGATAATATATATTTAAAAAAATTATAGTTATAAGACCTTATCACGTACCTATACGCTTATGCTACAATATAAATATTTTATTCTATATTTTCTAACTGTCTATACAAGCAGTTTAAATAAAACTTGAACAGTATTGAGCATTAAAAACATTTATTATCCTTCAACAGATATTATATGCATAAGAATGATATAGGTTATAATTTACTACAATATCATTCGATATATAATTACAAGATAAAAATAATAAATAATAACAAAATAATTTATTTATATCGATTTTATTATCAGCGACTATATATCGTTTAATTTATCATATAACACATTTAGTCCTTTTTGTATATTTTTTTCACAGACGTATGTTATATATAATAAATTTTTATAATCGTTGATTAATAAATGTTTTTCTTCTTTCAACTTTTTCCTGGTAGCTTTCAATGACGCGTTCTGGATTTTAACATTGATATCTCTCATTTTCTTTTTGAAAGTTGCTTCGTCGTTATTCATACCACGGTTATTTTCCTTAAGTTGCTTTAATATTGAGTTAATTTCTTCCCAGATTAATTCATTTTGTGACTCCATTTTTTTTATTCTAGAAAATTGTTATAGAATTTGTAAACTATCTACTAGTAATAAAATAATAGCAAAAATAAAAAATAATAATAAACTAATAATATATTTACTAATTATTCATAATAAATTAAAAAAATTTAACCTGTTCGAAAACTTTCACACTTAGATTTTGCTGTCGTAAGAAAATCTAACCTTCTACCGAAACAAACTTCTCGCCTACGAAAATTCGTGATATATAAATCACAATATTTTCGACATAGGTATATCCATTTTATTTTCTCTTAATAAAACTAATTTTATATTTAACTGTTTTATATAAGACAAATTTGGATTAGAATTTGTTCTACTTAAATAAATAGTGAATTTAAGGTTTTTATTTTTTTTTAAGATCTTTATATTCATATCTCTATTTAGTTTTATTTTCGTCAATCATCTTTGTTAATGTTTTAATCTGTTCTTCATAGTATTAAATTTGTTCACAGCAATAATCAAATGAATGCCAATAATTCATTATCTATAATTTTACCTAAGTACATTAGTATAAAATATATAATATAGAAATCTAAATTACTTATTATATTATTCAAATATAAATAAAAAAACTTTAACAAACTAAACAATATAGCATATTTTATGTCATAGAAACATACTTTTAATTACTAGTGAAGCCGCATTACTAGATGTAAAAGCAACAAAAATAATTTAAATGTATATATTATATACATTTTAGGATATTATATATTTTTTATACAGACAGTAAACATTATTGAATATTTTTTTTTCCTTTTTTTTTTAAATTAAAAAAAATGTTTACGTAAAATAATATTACACGTATAATACAACTATCACACTATCAATAGCAAATATTTATAATTAGCGAAAGTATTTTAACGTTGATAAAACTAGGTATAGATAACCGTAATAGCATAGGCAATAGCGTTTTTCCCATGTGACTGTACTATATAGTACACACTATACGTGAACACTGAATCACATAATTGACCACACGGTATCGACCAGTGTGCACCGGGTAGTGTACACCAGTGTGTACTAGTGCAGTCAGATTTTGTGGTTAAGTTACAATAATTACCAATAATAAGGAACCCTTGAAACCTCAAAAAATTTTAACACTTTATAAATAGTTGATAAGCCCGATGTTTTATCTTATCTATATAAATCTATGATACAACAGTTTTCTATACCGTGGATAGTCGCATAATTATAACGTATTATTTATTTTATTTAAACATAACTTAACAAAAAAAAAAGAAAACAGCTTATGTAGTAGTAACTAAAAGTGAGAGTTGAGAAACCGTCTTTAAACCACTACTTTTATTCTAATGGTTTTTATTGCATATAATCTGATGAAATATCTTTAAGTTTGTAAGCACAGTTTTAGATAGAATTTCTATCTAAAGTCATGTCTACATGATATAACGTTCATAGTAATATTATAAAGCTATATTATCATTACAACGATACATTGTTATTATTGTTATTATTCTATTTTATTTATTTTTTTTTTATTTTAAAAAAGAAGTTTAGATGTAAAATTTAATAAATAACAATATAAAAATAGTACTTACATAGCTTGTGGAAATTAAAGTATTTTTTCTAAGTATGATGGCTTGTTAGAGTTGTTTTGACTGGTTGCTATTTGTTAAAGAGGTCTGGTAATCTGCTAGCTGACTGTTGGTTGACGAAGAAGGCTGTTCTGCTGCTGACTACTCTTGAAACTGCTGTGGACTACTGTTGCTTGAACTGATAACGATAAGCTAAGAAATTCTGTGTTTTATACCTGAAAATAGTCCCTTCTGTTTACCCGAAAATAAAATAATCATGGGATATTCACATCATAATATTAGACTAATTATAAACTGCAAAATAACATTTTTTTTTTTTAA